CTAAGCCAGATGATTCCCACAGCCTACAGTAGTACTGAATTATAGAACCTTAAAAATTATTTTACAACTGTTTGTTGATTAGCCTGTCATTTACACTTTTCAGCTGTAGGGCTGTGTTGGCTTTTTTTTTTTGGTCAAGATTATCACAAAAAGTAAATCACTAACCATTCAATAGGAAAATATTTTTAGAAAAGACAATCTACTTTGTGCCAAGGATATCAAAGTCACAGGGTAGAAAGCCAGACTATCAAACAGCATGATTCGCAAGCTATTTTTTTAAAGGGTTTAAGATCTCTATATCAGATAATCAACATATCTGCCTATAGGACTAACAAATGCACTCAGGCCATGACAAAGACATCAGATTTTATGCGCTCATGCTATGCTAATACATGTTAGTAAACAGACTGTGATATGAAACTGGCAATTCATGCAACATATTAAACATCGTACTCATTGTACTCCAGAGAAATATGCATTATTAAGCTTAAATGTATATTCAACTTTTCTTTAAGTGAAAGTTCTAATCAATTCAGATTCTTAGTGATAATAAACTCAAGTTGCAAAACAGCACAGCACCCTCTGGTGCATATGTTACAAGATAGATAAAAATGTCCACAAGAAAAGAACAGAATCATACAGTAAAAAAAAGAACCTTAAAAATCAACTGGTTATCATGTTTTTTATTTCCTGCAGTACTGATTTTTGAACACCAGTGCTTAAAGACAACTTTCCTTTTAAAAGCTCACCATCAACTTCAGAATCAAAATTGAAGGTCAGAGAAACATTTGCATTTGAAAGTATACAAAATATTCAACAAAACCAGGGTGCATTTCCAACAAATATCACTCAAAATAATTGTAATGCGATCAAGGAAAATGTTTAAGTACTGAGTGCCAAAATTGACTTGTCATGTTAACCAAATTTCACTGGTTTTCATCTGCCTTGAGTTTTTCCTTCAGATAATTGGACTCCTTGAAGATGTAAAGTCTTCCCATGTACTTTTTCTGGATTAAAAGTAAAGTTACCATTATTTATAAGAATTGATGCTTTATGAATGGGTCTGAAAGTTGTCTTAAAAATACAAAAGAATGCAGAAATTAAGACCTACATTAATTACAAATCTTGAGTATCTCAAAACTGTAACCCTTAAAAAAATGCTAGAAAAATAATGAATTTTGAAAGTAGATTTTACTAACAACAAAAGCAAAGGATGCCACCTGCTTTTGGATAGCCCTTTGTGAACCACTGGAAGTCCCAACACAAAGCAGTTAAAAAAAAAAAAAAAAAAAGCAAAGAAAGTGACACCTGTTTAAAGCAGCCATCTGTCCCTAACAAGCTAGATTTAGTCAATTCCAGTTAATCCTGGATTTCCAAAATAGGGGAATGCTATGCACCTGTGAAGAGAAAGTTACAGACTATTTTGTGAGGGTCCTTATCGAAGAACTAAAGGCAAATGATCCCATTTGGCAACCTATTTTTTTCCTTGAAACTATTTATTTTTAAAGTAACAAAGTTAACAGGAGATCTTTAGCCAAATGCTTAGCATAAAAGCGAAATGACCAGCAGACTCCTCATAATTTAAAATGTTACTTCTTTAGGAGTCTCCTTTAGTGTAACATATCTTCATTATAGATACATAGAACAAAGTAACATTTCTAATCACATTGTTTCAGACCTTGCTTTTAACTCTTCCCACACATCCAATGCTATGTCGAATGCTATGGCGGACCCTCTAAACACACACACACACACACACACACACACACACACACACACACACACAATTTTAAATTTTGAGAAACAGAATCAGCGTACTCTACAAATTGATTTTTTCAGTTGGAAGTTTAGAGTAATGCTCGCAGAATAGAAAATTACGTGTTGCCGAAAGTTAAAATATTACCAAGAATAACACACAGATTCACTCATTTCTAAATGCTGTTTATCAATGTTAATAATAATATAACCACAATAAATAGGTTTAGGTTATAAAAACAACTGATTGCAATTCATTTATATTCAACTTACAAACTGAAAACTTCCAAGATGATTTGAATACTGGAGCAATGATAAACTATTTCAAACACTCCCCCCACATACAGAAAACATTGTGATAATGATGCTCAGCTTCTGGGAACCTGTTAGTTTATACCTGGATCACTGAATACAACCCACAGGCAAAACAACTGTCAAAGCCTGAAACACGCATTATGATGCACACAGCACCACAGCCACCCAGCTTCTGAAAGCAAGCTTCAGAAAAACTATTTAACCACTTCAGTTAACCACATTCAAACATTTCTATTAGTCTAAATCCCCGGAAACAGCAAATTCCAATGCACAATATAGTCCCCTCCCTGTTGAGCAAAAATATTACAGAAAGAAGACGCCAAGTGCTAAGTAGTTGTCGTTGTGTTTAAATGTTGTTATTTGTATTTACGGTTATGATTTAATCGATCCAAATGGATATTCAGCTGGCTTAACCTAAACCATCCCTAGCAATTTTTACACTGTGAACATGCCTTAAAAAAAATGAATAATATAAATAAAAGAATTCAGTCCCTTTCTCCCAGAGCAATGTGTAAATGGAAACTGAAATCACACAAAGCCTTTGAAACTACATGCAATGCCCCACACAAGTTCTTCCACGGTGCAAATGAACATCAAACCAGAAACTGCACAGCAAATGATCTACTCAACTAAAAGTCAGTTATGAGCACGGCATATGGTTCGAAACTGTCCCAAGACAGCATAGCTCTTATCGACTTGGGACAGTTCACAGGACCAGGAGCTACTCCACCCCAAAGCGTTCAGGCACTTTACACTCACCTGAGCAGAGAAAAACAGCAGTAACAACACAAACTAATATGAAAGATCTGCACAGAATCCAATTGGGGGAAGAAATAAAGGATGATAAACAAATCTGTTTGCTCTAAGACTGCTTTCAGAACAAAATGTGGTCACTGAAGATAGCAATCACAAGGAAATTAAGTTTTTTTTTTTAAAAAAAACGCCCAACTCTGATTTTCTGCAATAATTAGCCTTAATAGCATTATAACTACCCAATCCGTTCTCTGACAATCTGAGGAATAATTAATGCTGTCATATTATTCACAGGCTGCTGTCAGTTAAATTAATACACACTTGCTATCACAAACACAACCATTTAAATAGGCACTTTTAAAACCTAAACTAGAAGCTTCAACGCACGTAATTCTAATGAGCCATCCTACTTTTAGCACCTAATCGTGATGCACACTCCTTACTGATAACCTATTCATTCAAAGCCAGGCTGAACATGAGCAAATGCACAGGATCTTAAAAAGCAGGTTAACTTGTAACATGAACCGTATTACTTGAGCACCGGTAAGTATCCAACTCTGCGGAGAAAAATCCCTTTTTCAAGGAAAGACTTACAAAGGCAAAAGTTCTCTTTGCTGAGCAGTTCAAGTTACTTTCCAAAGGAAACCAGAAAGCGAAGTATCCACACGCCTTAACCACCACAAAGAAAAGTGAAATATACACACGTTTCAAGTTGAGGAGCTTCATACATTCTTTATGAACAACTTGACTTCGATTTCAACTCTCAAAGGAAAACGAATAGAGAAAGGGGGGGTACACTCTCAAAAGTACCCTGTCAGCTCACACTGCCAACTGAGTTGTCACAAAGCTTCCTCCCATCCTTCCCCCTTGTCCCTCACACACAAAGTCTGGTAAGCACAAGGAAATAGTTAACACGGTGCGCCCACCCAGGGAAGCTCCTCAAAGTGCAAGGGGACCTCGCGGCCACCCCTCCCACCTGCACAGGCCGGAGAAAGCAGTGTCACAAGTGGGGGAACCCAACTAGCACGGACGCCCGGTGTAAATCACTTCTCTCTCTCTCTCTCTCTCTCTCTCTCTCTCTCTCTCTCTCTCTCACACACACACACACACACACACACGATAGACTTTAAAAAAAAAATCTCCATCTCAGGGCAGTCTGGAGGCGGCCCCCTCCCAACACACACACACACACACCCCGGTCTCAATAAGTGTGCAAAGGGGTATGTATGGGGGGTGGGGTTAGGGGGAAGCAGGGAGAGGGGGGAGGGTGTAGATGGATATTCGGACTGTTTGCAACACAAAGAAAACACACAGTTTTAAAAGGAGAAGAGAAAGCGGTGCAGCACAGGATGATCAAAGATGAGAAGCCCCCAGAGCACCGGGCAGGGAAGCCAGGGGGACTGGGGGGGGGGGGGCGGGGGGAGGGAGAGGCGGTGAAAACCAAGGGACTCCGCGGTGGGAAAAGTTAACCGATGGCCGAGGATCCCAAGAACCAACCCCCCGCCAAGCAAGGCCCCACAAGTGAACAGTTACAACAACAAAACACCACCTCCCGTGTCCCCACCGCCCCCCCACAAGCCACACCGCACTCCCACCCCGCGCACCCCCCCTCCCCACGTCCTTCCTCGCCTGCCACATTGTTGTCTCCGTCGCGCTTAGCCAAAGCAGCAGCTTTGCAAAGGAAGAAAATGCAACGCCAAAAGAGAGAGAAGAGGAAAGGAAGGGGAAAAAAAAACCATCTCTGTTCACCTGACCCTCCTCCTCCTCCTCCTCCTCCTCCTTCTTCTTCTCCAGCCCGCCTTGGAAAACTGTGGCTCCCCCTCTCCCGCCCGGCGCGCAGCCCCCCGAGCTCCCCAGCTCCATCCCTCCAGAAGCGGCCGGGCAGGTGGAGCGGCGGGCGGCCGAGCGGCGGCGCCCACACCCCCCGAGCCCGGCGCGGCGCGCGGGGTCCATTGTAAACAAGCCCCCCGGAGGACAGAGCCCCGCGGCGGCCGCAGCAGCATCAACCGGCCCCCGGGTGTCAGAGAGTGCGACCCCCACACATACACACACACACACACACACACACAGATCACACTCGGCCGGCGCGCGCGCGCACACACACCACGGACACTACACACACACACACACCACGGACACACGCTCCCACACACATGTAGAGACCGAAGCATATTCACCTTGGCTGTGGATTATTGTGGTGTTGTTGGTGGGTGATGGAGATGATGGTGGTGGTGGTGGTGGTGGTGGTAGTGGTGGTGGTGGTGGTGGTGGTGGTGGGGAGGTGGTGGAGGAGGAGGAGGAGGAGGAAGAGGAGGAGGAGGAGGAGGAGAGGAGTAGTTGTTGTTGATGGGTAACAGTCGCCAGGACTACGGTGACTATGGCGCTTGATTCACAAGGCAACGGTTGCTATAACTCACAAAAGAGAGAGAGAGGGAGAGAGAGAGAGAGAGCGAGCGAGAGAGGGAGACACTCGCAAGGGGAGGGCTGGGGGAGGGAAGAGGAGGAGGAGGCGGGCCAAGCCGGGCGGCCGGAAGGGGCGGACTCGGCGCCGTGACGAACGGCCCGGCACTCGGGCGGCTCTCGGGGGGCCATGGCGAGAGGTGCCTGCTTTTTTTTTTTTTTGCGGGGAGGCGGTAGGGAGATAGTTGAGGGAGGCCCAGGCTGGGACTCCGAGCGAGCGAGCGAGCGAGCGAGCGAGCGCGCACCGAGAACTCAGCGCTTCGGCTGAGGCGCTTCCCGCCCCCCCCCACCCGCCGCCGCCGCCGCCGCCGCCGCCGCCGCCCGAGTCTTGGCTGAGGAACGGGACTGTGCGGGAGTGCAGCGTGAGAGGGGCTTGTGGCTTCTTGCCCACACGCGGAGACACGCGGCCGGCCGCCCGAGGGACGGGCCAGCCCACGGGGTGGGCGACGACCCCCTCTCTCCCTCCCCACGAGCGCTCGCCACGCCACGCCGAGGGGGGGGGGGAGGAACGAATGTTCTATCCACACAGCAGCCCCGCCCACCGCTGAGCGTCATTTCCGGGGCTGGGCGTGCGGAGGGCCCGGATGTGCGGCTGCTCCTATGCTCGCTCGCTCGCTCGCTCTCGCGCTCTCTCAGGGTGTTTTTTTTATTTATTTATTTATTATTTTTTTTTCCTCTCCTCCGTGTGTTGAGGGGCCGGGGCTTCCCGCGTTATCCTTCTGTCACGGCCCCTGGCAGAGATGTTGCGGGTTTCGTGATGTGTCTAAGGATCCCAGTTCCCCATCGCTCGCTCTCCTCCTCCTCCTCCTTCCTCCCGGCTGCCTTCGCCTGCCGCCCGCCCTCCGAGGCCGCGGAGCCGAGCGATGCGATGCGGTGCGGGCGGGCGGCGGGGCGTGAGCGGGCCGCCTCCGCCGCCATCTTAGAGAAGGCGAGCGAACGAACGCGGGGCGCGCGCGTGGGGAGCGAGGCTGGCCTCCCTCCCGCAGTCCCCAACCCCCGGGCCCAGCGGACGGTCCCGCTGCTTAGTGCAAAGCCAAAGCGCGATCTCTTCGTTCCTCTCTTTTCCCTCCAAGGGGCTGGGACACGGAGCTTCCGAGGAGCTCTTAGAAATAGCCTTCCCCCGGGGCGTGAAGGGAAAAAAAAAAAAACCCATATGGAGTGATCCTCCCTCCTGGAGAGGCGTCGGGGGCGTGGGGATGACTCACACCTGCCTCAGGGACCGTCCCATTAGCTGCTTCTGGCCCGTTACTTCGGGTTAGAGACCGCGCTCGCCTTTCTGGAAAGTTAGAGCACCTCAGATCCGAGTTCCAACCCCCAGGCACTCTGAATTAGCACCTCGCGTTCAGACCCTTATCGGGACACCCTCCTGGGGTTCCGGCTCTCAAGGTGTTTCCATCGGGGGTAGCCCGTTAGCGCGCAACCTGCTTTTTTTTTTTTTTTTTTTTCCAATCCCCGGTGCTCAAGCACAGATTCCTAATTCTTGGCGGTGCCAACATATTTGCCCAAATTCTCTTTAGACTGGAGTCCAGCAGGCACGTGCCCCCGGGCCCTGCCAATACCCCAGATCTCCCAACATTTGCTGCTAAGCTGCTTATCCAAGACAATAACATTAGAAGTATAGCCTTAAGAAATCAGTCCTCTAGAGGCTTATTATTTTTTTTTTTTTTTGCACCTGCAAAATAAGGGATTTGGGGCCAGCGTGAGTTCACCAGCGCTAAAATAATGCCAAGCTCTTGCTCTGAGCCCCAGACCTCATGCTAAGTGTTTTACATAACATTATCTCATTTAATCCTGACAACGCGGCCGTTAGGTTGTTAATACTCATATCCACCTTTTAAGATAAACAGGCCCAGGATGGCAAAATTTATTTTAGATCATGGAGCTTGCTATGAAGTAGTGGGCCCAGGCGTTTCAGGAACTGACAGTTGGAACAACAGATCTGAGGCCCTAATATTGTTACCTTTGTTGATGACCTAGAGGTGTTTATTTATTTATTTATTTATTTTTGGAATTATGTATTTAAATGTAATAACGAGGAGCTGGGGGCACGATGTCGTGAAGTCGGATAACAAAGTGGCAACCAAATAGCAAGTTGATCTCTTCCCATTTAGAAAGTGACTTCGGGCATGCCCAGGGAGTGGACGTAGCATTCTCACTGTCTGCCAGTTGATCATCGTTATGAATATTCATTTTAATACATTTACGGACCAAGTCTTATTCCTGCGTGTAGAGAGCGGCTTGCTCGCCGGGCATGGCTCTGAATAGCTTGGCTTTTTTCGTTCTTTTGTCTGTTGGAGTTTGCCTTTCCCTCGCTGTCAGCTGTTGCTGCTCACTGCTGTCAGTGAGCGCGGTTCTATTATCCCTCAAGGGTGCTTTTAATTTACTGCTTTTAATCTGTAGGCAAGAGAAACCGCAGGATGAGGGTTGTGCAAAACTGTGTCTCCTGAGAGTTAATAGGTGCTTTGAGTAGCTGTCCTTTGTGTTACCACGTTGGGATATCAGTTTTAAGTTGCTGACAGACTATTTGGGGGAGAGAGGGGAGGACTACTTCCTGTTTTGATCTTTTCCTGGGGTAGGAATTAATTTTCCTAAGTGAGTTTCTTAAAAGTTGGGGTTTACAAGATTTTTTTTTATCTGTTCAGGATAGTTGATGGTAAGATGACACATGATTTGCAGTGTTAACTCACCACACCAAATCAAATAACAAAGCTACCAATTCAGATGACAGAATGCCAAATGTGATGGATCATTCCCCAGTTCATGGAGGGATGGAATTTTTCTAAACGTTGATTTTGGTGAGACTTGGTCAGTACACAGTTTCTGTGAACTTTTTCAGAGATCCTGCATGCATGTACAGTGTGTCATGCTAGAACTCAAATCAGATCTTGAAATCTTGCTATCATCGGTTCTCATAGGCCATCCAATTTTAGTCATCTTAAAAATTTTTTTGAAGATTGATTTGAGTGATAGAGAAAAGGAGATCTTCCATCCGCTGGTTCGCTCAGCCTGAGACTGCCCCAGTCCAAAGCTAGGAGGCCACAACTCCTGCCAGGGCTCGCACGTGGTTGGCCCAGCCTCGAGGACTTGGGTCATCCCTGACTGCATTTCTGGGCACGTTGGGGGGAAATGGAGCTGCCTCTAAGAGCAGCTCACTGCAAGCAAGTAGCACTTCAATTGCTGCGCCATAGCACCAGCCCCTTTAGTCATTTCACTTTAATGCGAAATAGTTACATCTTCGGCTATGTTACAGGCGTATTTCAGAAATAAAATATTTGTCAAGAAGTCACAGGAAAAGACAAGCTGTGTTAAGGCCACTTTGTTAATGGGTCTCATCTCGGACAGCCTAAAACACTATATGGACTCGAATAAAAGAGCCCCAGCTACGAGCTGTCTGAAGTTGCTTGACAAATCCAGTGAACTGCCGATGTAATGATTTTGAATTGAGAAAGAACAGATAGCTATTGTCTATGACATGCCCAAGTACTCTGTGAAATGTTTGTAGGCTTGGTTTTTGTCCTCGGTTGGGAGTGGCTGGAATAGAAACACTAACACATGCTTGTGGGAACCGATTATGTATGTATACTATACTTTGTAACCGACCCCGCTCTTCAGGGTAACATTTTGCTTTCAACATCATCTGCTAGCTTACTGACTCAGGTTGATATCCCTTGCGTACTTAGGAATGAATGTTACTCTGGCAGTAATGCCTGAAAAATGGAAAAGAGACAAATGCAAATACTAATATGCAGTAGCCTTGCTTCTGAAAAGCTGTATGTGTAAGCCCTCAAAACAATATGTGACGTGTGGCAGCTTACTTTTGAATGTGTAGTGGTGAAGCATTTTGTAATGCAGAAAAAGAGTTTTCATTTAATTATAGCATCCTGGGTTGTTTTTTTGTTTTGTTTTGTTTGTTTGTTTGTTTCCAGTGAGACGCTTAGAGTCTTAGCTCCCATGTGAAATGAATGTCTTCATTTCTACCAGTCAGTATGTATTGATCATTTAAGATTTACACAACACTGAGGAATTGTACTACTGAATCACTTTACTAGATGTGAAATTCTGTGGGTATGTGATCATAAATACCAATAGTTTTAAAAGCCAGATCATTCAAAACTTTACATAACTTGCCACTGTTCTCCAGAACAGGAGTGGGGAACTCTGCCAAGAGCCATTTGGATATTTATGACATCATTCATGGACCATCCATAATTGTCAGTGTAAAAATTAGCCTGCCAAAGAGTTACTGAATTTTCAAGCGCTGCCATGCCTTGTCCAGGCAAGACCAAAGGATTTCACTGACCTTATGTGGTTCTTGGGCCAGACATTTCCCATGCCCATTGTAGCTCATCTTCAACCCTACTCACAGCTACTCAGAAGTACATTTTGCATTTTAAAAAGTGATACGGTAATTTTTTTCTGGCCAATTTGTGTTTTCTGAAAATAGTACAGCCCAACTGATTACTCAGAGTTCCTGAAGTCTTATCAATCCATTTACCCATCTATGAATTTTTTTATTTCATGATCAAAAGATGTTGATACATCATAAACTATCTATCTCTGCTCAAGACCACAATACAGTGTCTTTTTTTTATGTATACATGTAAGTGTTCATTTCAATCACTTCAGAGTATCACAGTGTTTGCAGTGTTAAAGTGACTGGTAACAGGCAGGTTGTCTATCAAGTGATCTGCTGGAAAAATGATTTGTAATATACAATGGAATAGTGTCAGGCAATCTGAAAGAAAGGATTGCTGATATTACAGC